TTAGGTCCAACAGCGTGCAGGATCTGCTGGACCGAAATTGTGGCAAGTATGGCAAGCTTTGGGAGGCAACCGAGTCGCCTCATCAATGTGCCAGTGTCATTCAGCCTGCAATACCTCTGCTTTCTGTTCCCGCAGTTCGCGATATCAGCAAGGCCTATTCCCATAGGTCCACTGTCAGCCTGGATGTATTCCATTGTAGGCACCTGTCTGTACGACGGAAGCAAGTATACAGAAGTTCGTTTATCTTCGCACTAATTCTGGATGTCTTGGAGAGTTGACGCCTCAGCTCCAATAGGTCTTCATGGCGCTCCTCCCGAAGGTCTCCAAAGGGTACAAGACTGTTGGCATATTCTAGATGGTTGATCGGGTTGCTGGGGACTAACCAAGACTGCCCAAGAGGCCCCCAAGATGGTCCCAGAGGGCTCCAGATCGCCGACCTATCGGTCCAAAACGCAAGAGTAGCCTCCACACGGCCCAAGAGGTCTCCAAGACGCCCCAAGAGGCCTCCAAGAGCACTCCCAAGAGGGCCCCAGGAGGCAAACATTATTGATTTTCATGTGCTTTTTGCTAAATGTTGGGACTCTCGCCTTTTCGGCTTCCGAACACCCCAAGACGGCCCAAAAGGCCCCCAAGATCGCCCGAAGATAGCTCAAGAGGCCTCCAAGATGGCCCCAAAACGACCCAAGAGGGCCCCAAGACGGCCCAAGGGGCCCCCAAGACGATTCCAAGAGGGTGCCCAGACGGGGTCCCGAACGGACATTTCGAGCCCTCGGCCTAAGAGGCTCCCAGGAAGCGCCAGCCCCCAAGAGACCCCCAAGAGGCCCCTGGGAAGCCCCAGGAGGCCCCCAGGAGCCTCCCAACAGGCCCCCAAGAGGCTCCATAGAGGCCCCAACACTACCCCCCAGAGGCCCCCGAGAGCGCTCCGAAGAGACCCCAAGAAGCATCCCTAAGGACGCTGACCCACGTCAGCATCGTCGGCGTCGTCGTCGTCTTTGTCGTCGTCGTTCAGGGTCGACGGCGCAGGCCGTAAGGCCTCTCCAATATATAATTCATATATATATATATATATATATATATATATATATATATATATGTCTATATATATGTATGTGTATGGGTGTATGTATATATAGATTGTTTCCATGGCTTTCATGGATTGTTTCCATGGCTTTCTCAGGATCGCCTCGCTGAGCGCAACAATCTATTTCGAGTTCTACCTGAACGATTCCTCGCTCACGGCGTATGGCGTGAGCACGGATGTTTTTCGGTGGCCGGTGAAGGCGAGCAAGCAGCTTGCAGGTACGGTCAGGGATAAGCTGGACGCCACCCTCTCTGCTGACAAGTGTTAGGTCGGGCGTGTCCTCCTACAGGGGGATATTGGACGAAAAACAAAAAATACCCCAAACATATTGAAACATAATCCAGAAATGCTCAAAAGATCGTCCCCAGACTATTTTTTTGAATATTCCTCCTGTAGGGGGACACGCCCGACTTGAGACAAGTCCTGGTCGCGTCCTCGTCGGCGCTGGGCAGGGACATAATGAACGCCTTGGGATCTTGCGCGGGCAAATGTCAACAAACGACGGTCACTCTTGGTTCGGACTCTCGAGCAATCGAAGTGAGCCAAACGTATCAACCATACTCGTATTCGTGGTGCCAGACTCAGACACTTGGTCGCGGCATTGAGACGCTGTCGTCGTCTTCGACGTCGTTCGTCGTCTTCGGCTGTCGTCGCCAGTTCCAAGAAAAGAAGGAACGAACAGAGAAAAGAAACGTCGTAATTAAGTAGATTCCCTCCCCTTCTTCCCCTTCCAGGCGGGTCCCGGGGGTGTTCACCCCGTGGACAGAGGGACAAGAGGACAGCCCCATCCGGCTGGGTCGCCAGCGGGGGTCCCAGGGGAGGTCCCGCCTGTGGTGTGCGGGGGGGGTCCCAAATCAGAATGCTGCCCCCTCCCCCAAGATCCCAGCGGGTCCTTGAGGGGGGCGCTAGCGGGGGTCCCGGGGGAGGTTCGCCCTTCAAGATCGGCGGCACTGGCCGTAAGGCCTCCACAACATTCGTATTCGTGCTGCCAGACTCAGACACTTGGTCGAAGTAGTGGGACATGGCGCCCGCAATATGGTAACCTGTGGCCTTCTGCCAGCTGGAGCTTACGCGTCAGCGATCGAAGGCATTGCCAACCAGCATCTTGAGCAATTGCGAAGTATTGAGCTGTCGGTCATGGGGCAAAAATGCAAGGGTAAACGTAAGCCCATCAATTTCGCGCTGTTCCATTCTAAAGCAAAGAAGTGGGCACTCACTCATGTGGTTCGTTGGGCTCAGGAGGTTTGGTCAGCTAGCATTGGCAAGTTGCCCTATTAGGCACCATACGGAGGGCATCGGGAGTTGAAACGTTTGTGGGAGTGGAGTTCGCCGAAGCAGTGTACGAATTGCAGCCAAGTTCGGCAGCGGCGCACGCCATGGACAGGACCGTCATGGACCGGCTGGAAGATTGGAGACGCGTTCGCGTTGCGCTCGCATCAGGGTCAGTTTTGCCCCCTGGCAGACATCTCGCCGAAGCTTGTGATGGAGCATTGGCTCAGGGATGCATGCACAAGGATGTGGGAGATTAAAGCTGCCACCAACCTCAGCCACATTCATGAAGTTCCCAGATTGAGTTTCGCCGTTGCGAGGAGGGTCTTGGACGCTTCTGGGGAGGACAAACTTTCCGTGAGAGAACAAGTTTTGCGCAGGGCAATTTGTGTCAAGGTTCTTGGCCCACTAGTCCAGCATCGCAAGCAGGATATCTCACTGTGGACTTGTGTACATTGTGTGGCTGCAGCGGCGACACCATCTTGCACCCGTTGTTTCATTCCCAGTCCGAGGAGGCGGCTGCTTGAAGACGTGAGCTGCTTCCACCTGGCCTTCTAGAAACATGTCAAAGACTAGCTAGTAGTAACATAATGTGCCAGCGTGGCTTAGTTCTTCACATTTCCTCACACGTCTGACTCCTTCCCTCCTCCTGCTAGGGATTTTGTGATATAAATCAGGCGTGCAGGTGAGGACCCCCTTATAAGAACCAGTTGTCCCTGCCACGTGGGACCCCTAGCAGGCTCCGACGGTACCTGTGCTAGGTCTGTCATCAAGGCTTCGGATAGAGCTGCGTGGGCTGTCTAGGGGTACTCCGAAAGCGGTCACCTATCAGTCCAGGTTACAGGTCCAGTGTTTTTTCCTTTGCCCCGGACCTCTTAGGCAGGGGAGCATTCGGGTTTTCTGTTTTGCAATCGAATATGACATGCAAGTATACCATACCGCCTTCGTGAACTGCAAATCAGTGTTAGACGGATTTTCCAAGCCTCTTGCTGCCAAGCTATCTCAGCGTAGCATGTACGCAGCCACCTTTAGGACAGTACTGGGCAGTGGTAGTAGCAAGTTTCTCTCGGAGGCGATAGAAAAGTCAAAGCCCACCAAGAGGCCGAAAAAGTCCTGATAGAGGACAAGCTTGCTTTCGAGAGTAACAGCCAATGAAATATTTCAGCACGGGCGGCCCTCCAGATGCATCCATCGTTTGACCCGTCGTCGTTGTCTGAGCTTAAGGCACACATGGAAGAGGCCGCCGTGATGCTCAAGCTTATGCCCAAGATTCTTGGGCTCTGGCCGCGTCACCATAGAGAGGGCATGAGGACCAGCGAGAGATTGCCGAAGCACCAACTTAGTGTTGTCCACGACCGGCAACGTGCGGAGCACGTGCCATGGAGGTACGGGGCATGTTTCACATTGAGCCGCTCAGACGAAGCCATGAAGCGCAGGACTAATAAGAGATGCATCCCTTTTTCGGGTGAGTTTCGTGACAGCCTAAGCGAGTCCGCGCCTCTCACTGTTTGTCGGCAGGCACCTGTGCAGACGGTCTGCTCGTATTATGTGCGAGATGCGGTAACCACTCCACTTCTGTGTTCAGGAGGAGTGTAAGGGTCCGCCAAAAAGTGGCAAACTGTACTCTGCACGGAAGTGACTGTTATTGGGGTTCCACCCCGATGACGGCAAGCCTTTCCATGACATTGGGCATTTATCCAGCAGCATTAGAGTTTGAGAAGGGGCGATGAGCAACTGCACCGTGCTGCTCTGGCCCTCAGGGATGAAGATGACGACGCCCCGCTTGCCCCTACCCCCGCTGCGGGGCTGGCGGAATCTGGCGACTCCGATTAAGCATGTAGCAACTCTATTTCTGGCACGCCACAGAGGTTTCGCTCAGGTGGCCTTACCACATTCGCTGCGTTCTTTCTGTTTTTCTGGCCCCTGTCCTGGTGCAACACGGTCCCCTTGGACCGTGTGTGCAAGTGAGGGGCCACCCTGGCGGGGGGTCCGTGGGGCTGGTCTCACCTGAGGTGCCCAGCCAAACCCTCGCCTTTTCCACCCTCACCCTGCGCTGCCATCGCTGTGGGGCGCAGCGTGGCACCGTGCGTTCCTTTCATGCTGCCGCCACGTCGGCTGCCCGTGCGCCGTACGCTCGGCCCTCGCTGTCTTTGTGTCTGGCCGCCTCGCCAATGTGCATTTGCGGTCCGCCCTGCCTCAGGTCGATGGGGTGGGCGGTGCAAGTGGATCATGTTGCAGCCACCCGAAGCGTGACGACAGATTCGCGGAGGGGCTTGAGGCTGAAGCCTATAGAGATCGCCGACTGCGGGCGGCGCTCCTTCTGCCCTTGAGTGAAAACAATCCTCCCTCCCTCCCTCCCTCCCTCCCTCCCTCCTCCCTCTTCCCTCCCTCCCTCCCTCCCTCGTCTCCTCTTCCTCCTTGTACTCCTCCTTTTCCTCCTCCTCCTCCTCCTCTTTCCCCTCCTCCTCCTCCTCCTCCTCCTCCTCCTCCTCATCCTCCTCCTCCTCCTCCTCCTCCTCCTCTCTCCTCCTCGTCCTCGTCCTCGTCCTCCTCCTCCTCCTCCTCCTCCTCCTCCTCCTCTGCCTCCTCCGCCTCCTCCGCCTGCTCCTCCTCCTCCTCCATTCGCTTTTCCTTCTCTCCCCCCCTCGACCTACTTTACTCCTTCGGCGGCCCTGGCGCCCGAGGTCCTCCGCGGCGCTGCCGTCGCCCGCCTTCGCGCCCGCCTCGTCGGCAGTGGCCGGGTTCCTCTGCTGCGGCCGGGAGAGGGGGGCACCCCAAGAGGCTTGGGGGTCAAGGGGAGGAGGAGGAGGAGGAGGAGGAGGAGGAGGAGGAGGAGGAGGGGGAGGAGCAGGAGGAGAAAAAAATAAAACTGCGGGGCCTGGAAGCGTGAGGAGAGAAAGCAGTACGGCAAGATGTAGATAGCGGGCTTTTCACTCATTAATCTATGTTTAGTACGCGCCTTTTTAGTGCGCGCCGGCTCTCAAGCCAAACGGCGGCAATGCATCCTGCTCAAATCGGGATTGCGCGGGCGACCGAACAGCTCTGGCGGGTCGCCCCCACCCCACCCCCCCGCGTTCCCGCCATCCCCACGCTCCTGCCACCCCCGCGATCCCGCCACCCCGGCATCGTCCACCCCGAGGCCACACTTAAGGAGCCCACAAAAGACGTACGCGCCCAGCTAGGTACACGAACATGGCCCCTCGATACGCGAGACTGGCCGCGTGATACGAACATTCGGGCAATGCGTACTCTCGAAACCAGCGTGGATTCATGTACGTGTCCGTCCTTGTTTCGCTCCTGAGCCACTGCACAGCCCCGCCCTGGGCCGCTGTCTTCCCTGGATATGAAAAGTCAAGGGTCCTGGCGGGCACGGGCTGTCCCAAAGAACCAGCTCTTCATCCCGAGCCGTTGTGGACGGCCTGCGGGTCCTGGGCAGTTCCCCGGAGGTCGAAAGCGGCGAAACACGGCCAGGACCCCCTAAGGGGAGGGAAGGGCCTTCCTTCATCCATGGATGGATGAAGGATGAAGGATGGATGAAGGAAGGATGAAGGATGGATACGGGAGGATGAAGGATGGATGAAAGAAGGGCCTTCCTTCATCCATCCTTCATCCTCCCCGATCCTTCATCATCCGCTTCAGGGAAAGTCCGCCGACCCGGCGCGTGTGAGACGCTCTCGTAGTTGTCGTCGTCGTCGTCGTCGTCGTCGTCGTCGTCGTCGTCGTCGTCGTCGTCGTCGTCGTCGTCGTCAGTCCCAAGGACATCCAGAAACGACACATGTCCATCCCCCATCCTCCATCCTCGATCCTCCTCCGCCGCTGACGTCCTCTCCGCGCCCTCCGCAAGCGCGTCCGCTTGGCTCTCCGCGGCGGCCGGCCGCTTCCTGACCGGCCGCCCCTCGTCCGCGCCGCCGGCGGGCTCGCCCTCCGGGTCGGCCGCGCCGCCTGGCAGGCTCTCGGCGGGCGCGGCGCCCAGGGAGGCCGCGGCGGCGGCGCCGCGGGGGCGTCGCTTCGGCAGCGAGGGTGGCGTCGCATCGGCCGGGCTGCGCTCCGCACCACGCGCCTCCGCGGGGCCGAAGTGTGCGGGCGGCGGGGGGGGGGCTGTCCCAGGGAGGCCGGGAGGCCAGGGCCAGCGGGGCGGGAGCGTGCTGGGGTGCGTGAGAGGAGGAGGGGGGGGGGCTGACTGGGCGGGTAGAGGCCGTGCCCTGCCCTGGCCCTGGCAGGTGGCAGGACGACCCTGACCTACTCGTCCGCCTCCCTCCTCCCTCCTCCCTCCTCCCTCCTCCTCCTCCTCTCCTCCTCTCCTCCTCCTCCTCCTCCTCCTCCTCCTCCTCCTCCTCCTCTCCTCCTCTCCTCCCTCCTCCTCCTCCCTCCTCCTCCTCCTCCTCCTCCTCCTCCGCCTCCTCCTCCTCCTCCTCCTCCTCCTCCTCCTCCTCCTCCTCCTCCTCCTACACCTCTGCCTCCACCCTGGACTTCGCACGCGCCGCCCCCAGACTTCCAGCCAGCGGGCCACCTGGCTGGACGCCTCGCAGCCGTCCTCCGCAGACGCGCCTCGAGGGAGGCGGGAGGAGGAGGAGGAGGAGGAGGAGGAGGAGAAGGAGGAGGAGGAGGATGAGGTGAAAGAGGAGGACGAGGAGGGGGACGAGGACGAGGAGGCAGGAAAAGGAGGGAGCGAGGGAGGGAGGTGGGAGGATGAGATGAGATGAGACGACACCTGGGAAACGTCCAAGGAGAGGAGGCGAAGAAGGGGAGGACGTGGACGTGGTCGCCTGCGCGCCCGCGACCCGCATCCCGGCCGCGGCCGCCGCGGCCGCCGCGGGCGGCGGGTCGCTTCCTGACCGGCCCCGCTTCCTCCGCGCTGGACGCGTCGCCCGCTGGTTCACGCGCTGGGTCGGCCGCGCCAGAGCCCGGATTCGCGGTGCCCCTGGAGAGGAACGGCAAATTATGAGCTCATGGCCGGCACTTGTCCGTCATAGGTCGTGCGCGCCGCGTCCCGCGGGGCGCAACCCGCAGCTCTCTTCGCGCCCTTCGCGGGGCCGTCTTTGAGAAGGGCATCTCTCAGGCCCAGGCCGCGAGGAGCCACCGCGGGTGCCCAGTCGTCGTCGTCGTCGTCGTCGTCGTCGTCGTCGTCGTCGTCGTCGTCGTCGTCGTCGTCGTCGTCGTCGTCGTCGTCGTCGTCTCTAGTATTTCTGGGATGTCTCATGGGGCCATCGTCACATCGTAGAAAGTACATGTTTGTTCGCGGATTTGCTCATCCATGAATTTGTACCCCTCCATGAGTCTGCAGCACCCCTGCAGCAACGACTGATTACTCTTCGCCAAGCAATCAACGGGGATGGGATCCCATGCTGACGGTGATAAACCTCGCATCGTCCGTGAATGTGTCGTTAAGGGTCTGTCGCCAGGGGTGACGCCCCTCACTGCTTCTCATGAAACTCGGAATGCCTCTTCCACTACTTCCCCCATGCTCTGCATCCTCCCTATGCTCCATCCTTCACCTCACCCACGCCTCTCCCTCCCTCCCCCACTCCTCCCCCTTATTCAAGCTCAGCGACACAGGTGATGAGGAGGAGATAGGGAGAGGAAGGGCGAAGGGAGGAGAAAAGCATGAAAGGCGGGCGGAGGAGGGGAGGCGGCTGCATGGAGGAAGAGGCTCACCGCCCATTAATAAAGGGGGGGAGGGAGGGCGGCCTGTCATGGAGAGAGGGGTGGGGAGAAAGAGAGAGAGAGAGAGAAAGACAAAGAGAAAGAGAGAGAGAGAGAGGGAGAAAGAGAGAGAGAGGGGGAGAGAGAGAGAGAGAGAGAGGGGGGAGGAGAGAGAGAGAGAGGGGAGGAGAGAGCGGGAGAGGGAGAGAGAGAGAAGCACAAAAAACGAGCACCCTGGCGAAGTACCCAACCATATGCTGGTGTGGATGCGGCAGGACAGGTTGGGGAAACTCCCTATAGTGCCACGAATTTTGTGAGGCTGCGACGGTGTCGGAAGCCTCACATAGAATGCCGCGATCAATGGGGCGCGCGGTCGCTGATGGCAAGTCGGACCCTTGTCGGATTGGGCGCGAAATTGAAATACCACCCGCCCGGCTGGCCAAACAAAGAGCCGATCGACGCGGGAGAGCGAAGCGGACTGCTCTGCATGATGTGCGGTAAGATCGCGGTGAGCCAACAGGTCCAGCTCCTGATTGCAACGTCCAGCATGCCGTCGATGTATTGGGTCATGGTGGACATCCACCTCCATGTCACCAAGGCGCATCGGGTCGGCGTCGTGAGATGCTGCGGAGGAACTGCCGCGAAGTTGAAGTCTCACACAACCACCACTGTGAACGTGTCGGGGCCAGCACACCTATTCGCAAGCGCGGTGCGCTCCAAGATCTGCGTCATCTGTGGGCCGTCACGTCGCGGTTGTGGACACTGCAAATCACCGTGAAGCCTCGAGCAGGGTCACCAAGACGGACGGGAGAGCGGCGCACTTCCAGCTTGAGCACGCGCCGAGGAAAGGCTGGGACGGTATCAGAGGCTTGCTTAAGGACGGTACCGGGTACCGGCCACGCCACCAGCACGAGGAACAGGACCAAACAAAGCGAGTATATGCTCTGGTTTGCTTCGCACAAGCTGGAAGGCCTGCCCGAGCTCCAAGCGTGAACCTCGAACCTCCTGCAATGCCAGCAAGGCGCGCTCATCCGGCAGCCCCGGCACCAGCTGGATACGTCGGGAACGCTTCTGATGATCAAGACGTAGCATTAGGTCGGGCATGTCCCCCTACAGGCGCATCTTGGACGAAAAATTTAAGTAGTCCAAAAATCAACCCAACGTTCAATAATACTATAGAATCGTCCCCGAACTATTCTTCCCCACATCCAAAGTGGGTTTCTTGTTTTCTCTGCACACGCCGCGCAGGATCTCACACCCCCCCTTTCCTCTCTCTCTCTCTCTCTCTCTCTCTCTCTCTCTTACACACTCACCATCATCACCATCATCATCATCACCATCAACCACCATCATCGTCATCACACGCACACACTCATCAACATTACCATCATCATCACCATCAACCACCATCACCGTCATCACTACTCATCATCATCATCCTCATCATCATCATCATCGTCACCATCATCACCACTCTATCACCCACTCACTCACTCAATTATTCACTCATCCTCAGTAGGCTTCGGAGGCAATGGTCCTCCGACGGTAGGACCGCCACCTCTTTCAACATCATCGTCACCACCACCATCATCATCTCTCGATCACCCACTCACTAGTCATCATCATCATCAGCATCATCATCACTCACTCATCACTCATTCATCATCAGCACTCACTGACTCATCACTTCGTCATCAATCACTACCTACATTGAATATGGAGGAAGTATCAGGCGGGAGCCTCGTCGGTGAGTGAATTGCGAGGAAGTCTCAGGCGGGAACCCCCTCCCTATGGGGCCCGCACTCCATGTTGGTAATCCGAGCGGGTCATCCGAAACATGTAACTATCGTCACTTTTGGGCTCTTGAGGCCTGAATATGGAGGAAGTATCAGGCGGGAGCCTCGTCTGTGAGTGAATTGCGAAGAAGTCTCCTGCGGGAACCCCCTCCCTATGGGGCCCGCACTTCATATTGGCAATCCGAGCGGGTCATCCGAAACGTGTAACTGTCCTTACTTTTGGGTTCCTGAGGCGTGAAGACGGAAGAAGTATCAGGCGGGAGCCTCGTCTGTCAGTGAATTGCGACGAAGTCTCAGGCGGGAGCCCCTTCCCTATGGGGCCCGCGTTTCACGTTGGTAATCCGAGCGGGTCATCCGAAACGTGTAACTATCGTCACTTTTGGGCTCTTGAGGCCTGAATATGGAGGAAGTATCAAGCGGTAGCCTCGTCTGTGAGTGAATTGCGAGGAAGTCTCCGGCGGGAACCCCCTCTTTATGGGGCCCGCAGATCATGTTACGAATCCGAACGGGTCATCCTGAAACCTGTAACTGTCGTCACTTTTGGGCTCCTGAGGCTTGAGTATGAAAGAAATATCGCGCGGGTGCCTCGTCTGTGAATGAATTGTGAGGAAGTCTCAAGCGGGACCCCCCTCCCTATGGGGCCCGCGGATCATGTTACGAATCCGACCGGGTCATCCTGAAACCTGTAAATGTCGTCACTTTTGCGCTCCTGACGTTTGATTACGGAGGAAGTATCAGGCGGGAGCCTCGTCTGTGAGTGAATTGCGAGGAAGTCTCAAGCGGGAGCCCCCTCCCTATTAGGGGCCCGCGCGTCATGTTGGTAATCCGAGCGGGTCATCCGAAACGTGTAACTGTCGTCACTTTGGGGCTCCTGAGGCCTGACTATGGAGGAACTATCAGGCGGGAACCTCGTCTGTGAGTGAAATTCGAGGAAGTCTCCGGCGGGAGCCCCCTCCCTATGGGGCCCGCAGATCATGTTACGAATCCGAGCGGGTCATCCTGAAACCTGTAACTGTCGTCACCTTTGGGCTCCTGAGGCTTGATATGAAGGAAATCTCAAGCGGGAACCCTCCTCCTCAAGCGGGAGAGGCGTCTTACCGGCACACGTCGGCATGGAGGTCCGGTTCACGGCCGTGCAGGAGGAGCTGAAGAAGAAGTCGGGGCTCGTGCCGGAGCAACGGGCCACCATCGTGTCCTTCGAGTTTCACGCAGACGACGAGCGGGACTACGAGGAGTGCGCGCCGGGCCAGCTCTTCCGCCCCCGCTACCTACCGCAGGGAATCTGGCTGCAGGTGCACGGCTTCCAGGAGTCCCCGATCTACAAGGAGGTCGCAGAGGTGCTGCACCAGCGCGCCGATGGCGCTGGCGACGACGGCGAGGCCGAGGCGCGGGCGAGGAGCTTGCTCATGTTCAGGCCCAGCGAGCAGGAGTTCACGTGGCAGAGCTCGGGGGCGCACACTGTGCGCCGCTCGGGGTTCACCCTGGCGCGTGCGTCCTGCCTGACCTCCACGCTGTCGCAGGGCCAAACGCTGCGCAAGGGCGTCACCATCGACTGCGCCAGGGATGAGGACGCTGGCCGCACGGGCATGTCGGACGAGATGTGGTGGCTGCACCTCTACGTCATGTTCTCCCGTGCCACGTGCATGCGGAACATGCTGATCCTGCGGCCGCCCGCGCGAGAGTTCCTGGAGCGCGGGCCGCCGCGCGTCCCTGCGGAAGGCGCTACAGGAGTTTGACACGCGAGCGGTGGGCTCCAGGGCTGAGGCGGAGCAGCTCGCGGCAGAGCTGGGCTTCGTGCTGCCGCCCGCCTGAGCGCCGCGGCGCGCACCTGGAGGCCCGCGGGGTTGTCCCAGCGGCTGGCTCCCGCGCCCCTGCGGCCTGCGAGGTTGTCCCAACGGCCTGGCCCGAAGGGTTGCCCCGGCGGCTTCGCGATCTAGCCGTCGGCGAACGCGCGCGCGCTGGCCGACGCGGCGACGGCGCCGAGGAAAATCGAGTTGCTTGCCACGACCAGGGGGAACGGGAGGTGCACATGGAGAAGAGGCAGGAGGATGAGGAGGGAAGGGGCACGGGGGAGGGCGACGACGAGGAGGAGGTGGCGCGAGAGGAGGAGGAGTTTTAAACCCGCGTGCCCCCGCCCGTGAGTGGGCGCCCCTGGTCTCGGCACCCCGCGCAGGCAGAACGGCCCGAGGCGGGGTGGGCCAGCGGCCTCATCTCACGGCGACGTACTGCCGCCACTCAATGACTCATGGAGTCGCCCCGTGAACAGCGGCAGTCTGAAGATATGCTGCCGCCGCCCTCTCAGAGCTTGAGGAGCAGCCTGATGGACGGCCGCAGCCGCTCCTCCGCTCTGCGCTCTTCCAGGGACCGCCCTGGCCGCTGGCCCCTGGACTCGTGGGCCTTCGCGGCCGCCTTGCCTGGCGCAGGGCTGTGGCCTAACCCCTCGCCACGCTGGGGTGCATTGCGGCCTAACCCCTCGCCGCGC